TAAAATATTCTCAGATAATATTATTAATTTTAATATTGTGAACGTTGTTATGGAAATTATTATTATCAATTTATCTAGAATGGTTATTTTTTCAGATTGTTACAATATCTACGAAGGGTTGGGGTAGCATTCATTTGCAAACATTTTGCCTAATGATATGCCTGCATAATTCTCATGTTACAATATAATTATTTGCATCAAAATTATTAACAACTGACATCATTATCAGAAATTTTAATATCCATTAATTGCTTTCTATTATTTGAGAATGTTGTTTCATCGTGATCATTACTGTCGAAGAATGTATTCATACATTTCAGTATTATATATACTTAAAACATTGTAATTGTTGTTACAAAGTCACTGTTTCGTTTGGATTTACAAGCATTCATAGGAATGTAAATAAACGGAGGCGTGGAGTGATTCATAAAAACGTGTGATTCAATTCATGAAAAACAAATAAACATCTACCGTGTATTGTTTTTTTTTATCAACTGATTCAAGTGCTCGTTTTATGCTTCAAAACACTGATGAAAATAAACAACGATATTTATATTCTGACGAACTTGACACTTTGTACCTTGCACGTTTTACTGATACCTTTGATACTGCAAACGTGACTAACGATTCTGCACGTCAATAAAACTTCACTCTTCATGCTACTAACCAACTAATATAGAAAACGAAATACTGTGCTCCTTTAGAAATGTTCCTTACCATGTGGGCGTAGGCCCAGGTGGGCGTACTCTAGGTGGGCGTGGGCCCAAGAGGCGTATACTAGGTGGGCGTGGGCCCAAGGGGCGTATTCTAGATGGGCGTGGCTTATGATGCCCCAAGTCAATAAGGTTTTTACTTTTTCCCACCTAGCAGCATTCCCCCACCACATGGACGTAGGCCCGGGGGCGTGTCCTAACTGGGCGTGAGTAATTATTAGTCACGCCTATGAAACATTACTTTTCACGCAAAAAGAAAGAAATAATATCAAAAACCAAGTACCATAAACGTATAATCCCAGGCATCATCATCCGAATGTTAAGCCTTGTTTAACTGTTTAGGTGTTAAATGAAGATCGTTAAACGTCGATGAAACGATGAAGAAAGAAGGAACAGAGGTAAAGAGGCGTTCAGCCACGTGATAAGGGAGCCATTGAAACTTTATAAACTGAATATTATTGAGATACCAGGCGGTTTCGTTGGAGTACCGCGTGACAGTGAGCGATGAGGTGGGTCGGGGGTTCCCTCCGATTTTCTATTAAACGCCGATTTATTTATGGAATATTCAATGCGACGTGTCCCGGGAACAGGCCGCAGGCGTCGAGCCATCGAGAAAAATTCAAATCAGCCTCGTCGCGCCGTTGCTATCCCAGGAAACGGGGAATATTCCTCGTGAAGGAACGCGCGTAATCCGCGGACGAGACAATCCTTGACTTACAGCCGTTCGGGAATCTCGCTTCGACACGGTTCTTTCCCCCCTTGCCCACGGGATTTTCTGCTTACCAGAGATATACAGGATGCTACAGAAGAGCTGCGAATTTTCAGACATACCGGGATTGTCATAATAGAGGGTCTAAAGAGTAAAGAGTATCTTTAGCCCCAACCCTACAGCACACGACTAATCTATAATGATTTCCATTACAAACCGAGTCTTTTTTACATTCCTATGATAATTTATCAATAAATAACTCAAATATCACTAAAGAAGTTGATGCGAATACTTCAAAATGCCTATGGGGTACATTTTACCCACTTTGCATGGTGGATGAATATATTTCAGAACAATTTTCCATTGAAGTATCAATTTTAAAAATGAAATGTCTGGAAACAAGACAGAGGCTTGCCTCATTTTCAGGGAATCAGAACTATCCAACAGTTCACAGCCCTCCAAAGAAACAGGAACGTCCGCTCGTGGCATGGACGCTGGACATGACGTGGTGTGCGAGTGTTTGCAAGTGACACACGTACACACAGTCCACACAGAGGCGTGGTGGCACCCCGTGGTGAGAGCTGGTGGTCTTCGTTTGCATAGGCAAACAGAGGAATTAGGAGCGGACACGTCCTTCTCCACGCTCGATCGGGGTTCCTTTGCCCCAGGGAGCGCGTTATTGTCGTTGGGAACACGTTAGGAGAATCGATTGTGTTACGTGAAATGATCAACCAGCTTTCTAAACTTCCTATTACTTATCACCAAAATTCATTTTCCAAAAATTCAACATAAATTTCTTTATGTATGTATAATTGAATAATTCAAAATCATTGAAAAAATTGCAATTTTCGACCGAATGAAATCTTAAGACGTCACGAGCAGGTTAGGGATGATAAACTCGAGGATCGAATACAAATTTTAAACACAGTATCGATCAGTTTCCCCAGTGAACACCAGTCTCGATTTCCCTACAAGGGGGGTCGTTTTCTTCGCAAGTTCAGGCTATATCTACTTAATTGAATCGCTTAATTATCTCGTAGTCTTTAATTAAACGTAAACCGGGAGGTGACAACAGCCGAGGGAGGGGCTCGATAGTTTTGATGAGATCCAGAGGAAGGGTACGATAACGCGTTCAACGTTTGATTGTAACCAGAATTATTGACGAGCAGTCAAAAAGTTGTACCCCTTGGAGAAATCCAAAGTGTTACGGTTCCCCATGAATTGTTGCTTCAGCAATTTAACTTTGCCTTGTAACCGCCCTCGCTCTGGGGTCATTCCCGGCCGAATGAAATATAATTACAGTGAAATTAGCAGGCTCGGGTTATTATTTTGCTAATTTCAAAATTGCAAAATTTCCTAATCTCAGTTGCAAAATTGGATTCGTAATATTGAAAATTATAAACAAAGTTTCCCTGAAACTGAAGTTGGACTTGAATGCAAATAAATTATTTACTGTTCGATCGTCAACAAATGCAAACATAAAAATTGCAGAAATGCGAGTCCGTTTTCATCTTTTTAAATTTTCTCAACTGAAACGATGGTGATACATTTAACTAACCTGATGTTATTCAACTTTTTCGTCCTAGTTTGCCCGAAAGAACCATCCTCCGTCATTCAGGCCTGTTTTGCATTTCTCTTTTATAAGCCGGCGTAACGAGAACGGTTATCGCGTCGAGAAAGAACACGATCGGACTACAATGGCGTATTCTTCGAGATGAGGCCGTGATAAAATCACGCCGAAGCTTCTGGGATTCCTCTTAATTGCCGAATGCCCGCTTCGAATCGCTTGTAATTCCGCGCCCTTATTCCCTTATGTTAGGACCGTTGGAGAAGCCAGAGATTCTATTATTAGACTTTGCAAAAAATTTTTTCTACTCCGCCCAGGACTTGAAATTATTGATGAGAAAAATTCAAAAATACCAGTTTTAACTCTAGAAATCCATCCGAGTAAAACTGAACGTTTTCAGTATTCTTTTGAGGTTAAGTTGACGCCATATTGAATTCTACCCATAATTCGTCCAATGAGAGGAAAGAGATGCACATAGGTGGCGCTCATTTTGGCGGGATAACCTCAAATATCAATCAGATGATTAATGGAAATCAATATGAAGTCAATTTAACCTCAAAAATACGCTAAAAACGTTTGATTTTGGCAACAAATTTTTTCTACTCCACCCAGGACCTGAAATTATTGATGAGAAAAGTTCAAAAATATCAGTTTTAACTCTAGAAATCCATCCGAGGAAAACTGAACGTTTTCAGTGTACTTTTGAGGTTAGGTTGACGCCATATTGGATTCTACCCATAATTCGTCCAATGAGAGCAAAGAGATGCATATAGGTGGCGCTCATTTTGGCGGGATAACCACAAATGTCAATCAGATGATTAATGAAAATCAAAAATACGCTAAAAACGTTCGATTTTTCATTTCTAAAATTGAAACTGGTATTTTTGAAACCTCTTTCGTAGAATATTTTTAAAGTATAAAACAAAATCAATAATTTCGTGTGACCCAAAGTGAAGCTCGACCGACTGGAACATGCTACACATTTATGACATTTCCACAAGATACAAGAGGTCTGATATTAATATCAGAGTTGCAATAGCTCGTAAACAATTAAACCAGCCGAGTTATCGATGTTCAAACGTGAAACAGTCAAATATGAAGGTAATAGTGAGAGGAATGATTCGAAGCATCAACTAACGCGACAACCACGAAGCAATCGATGCACGTTTCCATTTTCCAAGGGCAGCACGTGGAAAATCGTGTAGTAAATTAGACGCGTCGTCGACGAATACATCGGCACACGTCCCTACCAAGTATTTCCAGAGGAATTTTAATTAATATCCGGTGGTTTACAGCGACCCAGTCGAACGTGGCTGACAGGGGTACAAAAGCACGTTGGATGAAAGGCGATAACCGAAGAGAATGGCTTTCTCCACGTTTTTTATTGGCAATCAAATGCCCTAGCTTCTTTTTAAGACCACCCCGTGCCATGAATTTTAGTTATTAATTATTTAGTTGTTTAAAATTCTCACTGTGCTTTTTCGAAACACAGACAATCGCATAGGAAATATTTTAAATCCCTCCAAGTCTGAATTTCATTATCAAAATTAAAATTGCCTACATTGCTCAAATTAATAATAATAATAATAATACTAATAATGAAAGAAATTGAAAAGCATGCCTGTTTCACGTCAAAATAAACAGACATTCAAAGCATCACAACATCGTCGTGACAAGAACAAGTGGTGCTGTCTAACACGTCCTCTGCACAATGGGTTATCAGTGACCCACCTTAAGAAACATAAGATATAAAAATATTTTTTCTTTTTTTATTTAGACGAAACGTGTTAAACTACACCATGTGGTCCATTGACACATAAAATTGAGAAAAGATACGACACATGATTCACTTACCCCAAGCACCAACCACTTTTCTTCCCCTATTTTTATTTCAACTGTTTCAATTTGATCTCAAAATGGATAGTAACGTTTTAAGAGGCGCGCGAATCGAGTAGTTAGAACAATTTCGACGCGATTCGCTGCCAATCCAAAGTGGATCATCGCGACTCACCTTTATTCCGAGGGTAGGAGTCAGCATCCCATAGTCGGTTAGGGGTGGCAGCATAACGGGGGGTAGGTTTGCCATCATCATACTGTCTAGAATCTTCGCACGTACTTTCCCTTCGTGCACAGAACACAAATCAATTTATTGCTTACTAGACCTACCTGAAACATAGAAAAATGGTGGTACGTCAGATGAGCACGTTCAATGAAAATCAATACAATAACAGGAATGACAAACTATCAAGAAAATTTGATAGAATATCTATGTTTCAAAATTTTGTTTAATAGAAAAAAAAATTTTAATTTAGAATAGTTAAAAGAAAATTGTCATAGCCATTTATAAATTCATACATGCATCGTACAAATAATATTGATTTATGACACACAAGCATACGTGTGAACACAGATATTACACGTTTATTACACATGCTTCAAGGTACAAATACACTTTACGACTGTAATAAACCACGAAGATGCATCAGGAACTTTCCTTTCATCAAGCCTAAACTTCGCGCATCGTATTTCGGTCATACTGACCCCGTTACCACATCGAATTTTACACGTTCTGCAACGAATAAAACAGTAATTCACTTCGACTATTTATAAACTTTGATATTTTGTTTCGAAACGATGGTCACACCAACCTGCGTACATCTTCAACTTTATTACCGAAACTCTTAGTGAACGTCGTATAAAATTGTACTTTATTGTTTAACAGTTGCATTCTCGTCGTGATCCTACAAACAGTCCGTTCGAACAAAGAACATGACACAAATGTATCTATCTATTGCAACACATTGGGCACAAATCAGAATCTTTTTGACTTTGAGTAAATAAATTCATACTTCATCTAAAATAAGATGGTTGAAACTTAAAATCATCAGAATGATGCTCTGATACTGTACAAAGAACTCCCCCTAAAATGATCAATACTAAAATCAATACTAAATCAATAAATCAATCCTAAAATTAAAAATACTGAAATTTGGTTACTTATCTAATTAGAAATATTTTTATTAGGTATTTGAAATAACGAATAATGGAAATAACAAAATATTGGAAAAATAATAAATAAAACTTCAAGAAAATATAAATATTATCTAATGAAATTTTCAATTGCGTTTACCTAGGGATGAGATGAGATCTCAAGAAATTATAAACCCACATTTGAAATCTTTATCCCTCGCGGAACGATACAAGTTTTCGTGAAAAAGAAGAAGAACAACCTCTCCGTCGCGTTTCAAAGAAAAGAAACTCACAATCCCGCAACACGTACCGGTGTCTCCGTGAAAGCGAGCAACGCGTGCAATCAGCAAACTCGAGCGACGACGAGCGTTCGGGAACAAAGCGCGGCCGCCCTTATCTTAAATCCTCGCTGAACAACAAAGGTAGTAACAAAGGCAGCGACGACCTATCTGCGCCGAACTTTTCTCAGCTCGAACGCGACACGCCTCGCGCACGAACATTGTTCCGAACTCGTCGCTTTTCCTCGGTTCGGGACTTCCATCGGTCTCGCGACCGCGTTTCAATTAAAGGCGACCAATTAAGGCGCTGATCCATTAAGATCAATGGAAATTCGCTAGAATTATGGACCGTATGATGTAGAAGCAGCTATTTTTGGAGGGGGATAAAAAATTGAAGGGCTATTGTCATCCATTCAACCTGGACGTTTTCCAATAAAAAAATTTTTGAATCCTATATCTGGAAAAAAACCATGATCGAAATTCCACGTCCTTCTAAAAGCAACAATCATATTTAGGTCACGATTCGAAACGGCGACGATCCCCATTACGAATTAAACCGCTCTGAGTACAGTTTAATAAGGCCGCGACCAACCAATCAAGCCCTTAAGCCGTCGATTTACATGAAAACACGGGAGTGCGTGCTGATCCGGCTGAACGTATCTGGCAGCCTCTCTTAAATTCCCCCGAAATCAGTTTCCAAGAAATCGGATCGACGATTCCCCCCCTCAAGTGTTCCTCGAACACGATCAGCTTAATCCTTCGGGATGCAACGAGAAAATCGACCGAGTTTCACGAGAACAGAAGCAGCCACCGGGGTCATGTTTGAAATTCGGTTAGGCGAGTTTTGTTCCGTTGTTAGTTGGGCCGGGTTAGGTCGGCGGGTGGTTTTAAAGGGAAGTTCCCGGGACATAAAATTGCGGCGGAACGAGGGTTTACAGGTTTAGTTACACGGTTTAGCGTGATGTAGCCGAGGCGTGTTGCGGCGTACGTGCTCGAGGGGGCGGGGTTACCGGGGAAATTTTCAACGCTGTAAAATTCTGAGAGTACAGGGATGCTATCAAACTTTATTCCCGCGAGTTGTTGGTTATTGCGGAAGAGGTGTATCGATGACCGAAGGTGTACCTTCATTTACAATAAAGTGAAGATAAAAATAATGTGCCATATTATTAAAGATGGCTGTTGACGTGTTAAACACGTACCTTTTGGAGGGATCAGAGGTTCGAAACTTAGATTAGTGTCGCGTGATGACGGTGGTCGATCCGCGAGTTACAGCGACGAATGGAGAGAAAAAGAGGGTGGTCCATGAAGGGGCGGTAAAGGAAACGTTGCAACCGCACGATCCAAGACGGCTTAGCTGGCAAAGCCGACGTAAGACCTTCCGGAAAATCTCTATTTCCGTGAACACCGTGTTCCCATGTCGGACCATACCCCCAGAACTACTTTTAGGTGTGGGGCACTGTCCCCTTTCTTTCAGAACGTCAGCCCGAAAGTATATTATTAATATTCTTCCTCCAGTTTCGTCTACAGGTATAATTGAAAGGGTTGATTTAAATGGGACACCCTGTACTTTAGAAACGTAAGATCATGTACACAAATGTAGGTTCATAAATGATTCAGCAAACTCCTGGTGGTCAGCAAGGCATCGTCTCTGGTTACATCCTGCGCACAGGTCGCCTACCTAAAGGGTTCGAGCCACATCAAAACAAAATCTCTTGCTACGGAACCCATCAACGATCCCGGCTTCTGCTTAATAAACCAACACTCCAAACATACTTAACAGAGGGGTCCAGCGCCTAGCCGCGCTTCTACCGGGCATATTCATACCGGAATTAACGACCCGTGGCTAACTTCGCTTCCTAACTGGGAGAAGCTTGCTGGTAAGAGGTGCCCAGAGGATCCTCTGGACTGTCCCGTAAGGAAGGGTCTTCCTTACGCCCTAACACTTAGAAGGGCTACTAACTCCCAGGCTAAATTATAGTTTGTATTCATAGTACAACCAACAGCTTTATGAGAAAAGATTGCTCTGTTAAGGAACCCATAAGTGAGAACGAATCCCAGGAAATATATTAAGAAATAGCAGATGTTTAAAAGTTAACCCGTTCTCTAGAAACTATTAATATAAATTGTACAGTGTGGAGCAAAGCAGACTTTTCTAGGGAAAGTGGCAATGCCCCCCACCTCCAGGGTCCCTAGCCCACAGGAGGTTTCCCCTTCCGCTAGTTTCTGGCCCTCCCCAGAGACTTCCCCTTCCCCAGATAGGAGCAGGAGCTCCGCCCTAAAGGCTTCCCCTTCCCCAGGTTCCTGCCCCGCCCCTAAGGCGGTCCCGCGGAAAATGACGTAACTCCACTTTCCCTAGAGAAATCTACTATGCTCGAAATTGTACATAAGGAAATACTTTGAATTTTTGTGACCTTCCAACGAAAGTATTTATGATTATAAAACAAATTTCTTAAATATGATCCGAATGAAAAATAATTCTTATTCTAATAATTTAAAAGCACCATAACAGCGCGTACATTGGCTAGATGTTTAAATGGAACCATGCACGGGTGAAAATCGTTTTCATTAGAGGTGAAGCAGAAAATCGTAGGCCATTCACGTTTCCTAGCCCGAAGGTCTTTCAGCTTTGAGGATGAAGCAGAGCAGTTAACGGAGTCAGTATTAAGGAAGCGTTCCCAGCCTCGACTACGTGATTATCGTAATCGAGCTTTTTGTTATTTTGTCTAGTTAGCCTCTGGCTCATTCTCGCGCTCACGTAAGTTCTTTTCAACGCGGGCATCGTCGACGTGCAAGTTTTACCAGAGAGATATGTTTTAGTCTGCAATTCAGAAGCAGAGAGCCTCGATCAAACTTGCGTTTAACATTTCCTGCAGATGAAATCTCAGATATGAAAACAGACGTTCTTCGTTATTAAATCTTCCCAAATTCTTCATCTTCCTTTCTATTGTTCAATATGATAATTTATATACCGTCATGCCACTTTTGTCCACCATGGAAGAGACAATTGTCTAAGGGTTCAAACAGACAATTAAATGCCCTTAGGGGTAACTTCCCGAACAGGATTATTCTAAACCCTTTCTCGTTTCGATTCACCAGTCCCCGTCCCAATTTCTCCGTCCTTGAAAAGACAGCTCCTCGGGGGACACGAGCATCGCACGACCCGATAATCCGGCAACAGGTACACGGCGTAACGACGCGAAATCGGTGAATCACACGCGATGGCGGCGGACCAGATGAACAGGGAAAATTGGAGAGCAACGGCCGTGGAGAAACGGAAACGAGTCACGGTCCGTCGAGCGAATGACTGGCTCGAATATTGGCTAAAAATGTAAATTGTCCCAGTGGCGTGCACAACGTCTGACCAAGTACTGTTTCAATTGGGATTCAATTTATCGAGGCGGCAGAAAAATAAACTGTCTATAATTATGCGATACAACACCCCATACTTTATCCCATATAGAGGGTGTCTCAAAATTCATCTGATATTCAGTTGAATTAAGGGACAATTGCGATTCCCCCTCCCTTACTCCATACGCTTCCACGCCCCCCGGTTCTCACAGTCCCTGGTGCTTAAAGAGCAGCCAGAAATTAGACGCTAAAGCTACACACAGCGAAGGCTTCAACGACGGACGTCGCGCTTAATCCTCGAGTTGATGAATATTTTTTCACGGATTCCTTTTTGCCCCTCCCCCCATCCTGTACGACGCACAGCCTCGTTCCTGACCGTCTTTCCGAGCCGTCAGCTCGCGCTCGAGAAACGCTGGCCCGTGTTTTATGCAAGCCTCGGGTTTTATGCAATGAGACTGCAATATCAAACGCCGCGAGAGACGAACGGGCCGAGATGCCGCTGAATAAAATATCCACCTCTATAAAAAACCGTGAGAGAGAGACAGAGTAGGGTGTAGAGACGACGGGGTG